ATCAGATATGAGTCAGTTTTGAATCCACGGGTATCTAACAAAAACAATTATCAGTTTCTGCAAGCAAGGTTTATCATTTGCATAATGCAGGTTGTCCTTTCTCCAATCTTGATGGCACATCCTGCTGCATATCGCCCAATTTCTAGAATGATTTGTCCAGCATACAGATTGAATAGGAATGGAGAATGGATACAACCATGGGAAATATCTTTTCTGATTTTAAACCTTGCTCTAATCAGATGACAGCTTCTTGATTGGGGTATAGATTTCCTGCAAGCACAATCAATTGTTTAGGGATTTTCATGCTTCTTAACGTTAACTATAACTTGTTATGACCCACATAGTCAGATGCCGTTGCATAATCAAACATAAGTAAACCTCTTTCTGGTATTTTCTGCTTTTACAACCTCTATCTGACATCAGCAATGACATCCCATGTTTAATGGCCTCTTCTGAATTCTGCTGGACTTTCTGGACTCTGCACTCTGGAGACGTCCCTGTCAACAGACTTTCCTAATACAATTAATCTTTTGATTTCCTGACTGCTAATACCAAGAGTACGGGAGTTCTGGTGACCTAGTGGTAAGAAGCTGTGTTGCAATCCTAAAGGTATTCAGTTTGAATCCACCAGCTGCTCCACAGGAAAAGGATGGGCAATCTCCTCCAGTGCACTTAACTGCCTCTGAAAACCCAGTGGAGGGTCAGCTATGGGTCGGTTCAGAATCAAGAGTACATGGCAACAATAACGCCAGAAGTGTTGCTTGCGGACCTGAGAGGGATAAATTGTTAACAATCTCAAACTCTTGTCCATATGTGCTGCCAATTCGCGCAGTGGTGAGAAGCTTTGTTTTCTTGATGTTGAACTGTAATCCATATTGAAGATTCTAGTCTTTGACCTTCTGCTGCAAATGCTTCAGGTCCTCCTTAGCCAAGTTATCTGCATAATGCAAGTTGTTGATTCCAATTCTGATTCCCCATTCCTCCTCATAGAGACTGGTCTCCAGAATTAGAAGTTATTTTTTCCTGCCTGTTGTGGCCCATTTAAAAAAAGTTTTAATCATAAACTTTGACTACTCAGTAGAGATTTGAGTAGAAAAACAAAACTACATCGCTTTTAGCCTTGAAACGTGGAGGGGAAAATGGAACGGGATTAGAGGGCGCGTTCAAACCGCCTGTTTCGTACACTATGTGAAAAGTCTTCAGCTTACACATCCTTCAAGACTTCCTCGCCGCCCAAATCAGCTTCTCACCAACTAAGGGTCAATATTTACGCAGGCGCCTTTCCGGAGCTTATAGAGCCCGCCTCCTGGGGATACTAATCCAATCAGAAGCTAGCTCCGCACGGCTCACGTGACACAGGTCCACGCCTCCCGCCCTCTCTGCGAGGAGCTCTGCATTCGATCCCGTCCTGCGATGCTCCGCCCTTCAGGCGGCGCCCGCTGATTGGTGGCTTCTGAACGGTCTCCTGGGTGACGGGAACGCGGTAGTCTTGTTGGATAAGACTGAGTGCGCTTGCGCATTGCTCGATCGCGCGGCTGGTGGAGCTTTGAGATGAAGGTAAATAACTTAAAAAACCTTGGGGAGGGAGTGGAAGACATGATCGCTGGGCCTTCTCTTAGCTCTCTTAGGAGAGGCCATGTGCCCTCTTCAATCCTCCCCATTGCGTGACAGGTTGGGAAGTGAGCAGGGTGCCTAGGGAAGAGGAGGGCGGGGGCGAAGTTAAAGGAAAATCAAGAAAAAGAAGACGCAAGGGAGAAAGAGGCCTCATTGCTGGAGACCGCAAAAGAGGTTGGCGCTTTGCAGGAGGGAATTCCAGAAGTGAGCTGACTGGATCAGAAGAGATCATGAATTTCTCTGGGTGGAAAGATCTGGTCGTGAATGCGTTTGGGGTGTCTTGGTGAAGTTGACTTGGTCGGGTGTTGTGCTTTGCCTTATTTCTTGCAGTTAAGCCCTAGCAAGCCGCAAAACTGCCCAGCGCCTTAAGCACACAACCTTAAAAAAGTAAAAAACCTTGAATGAACCGTCTCAAATTATTTTGTCTGTGGCTGATTTCAACTACAGATCCTGTGATGGTGGGGACATCTGCCCCCAGCAGCCACAGTTCTCACTCACTTTCATGCACGATGCCCTTTGCACGTAGTTTCTAGGCTTGGATCTCCCCTGAACCACTGGGTCACACTTTACTGCTTCACTTTATGTCAACAATACCACTCACCTTGATCTGGAATGGAAAGCTCAAATTTCAGATAGCTGTAAACATCCTAATGCTTCTTCATGGCCATTGTGAAAATTGAAATCTGTAGACTTGTAACTCTGATTTTTAAAAAACCCAAACTCCATAACTTGTGATGTATGCCACATGAGATATTATTGACCTTTTATAATTGGTAATTCTGTGGTAAGAAGCAGCAATATTTAAATCTTCTTTATACGAGTTTTGAAGGTAGCACTTTTCCCGTGAGCACTGTATATGGAACATCATATACAGAAGACCCCCAGCAAAAAGGATTGACATAGTGTCTACAGCAATGCACTTCAGTGTGTCAGAGATGATGAGGATGGCACAGGATAGGACAAGCAAGGTTCAGATCTGTGCTTAGAGTCACTGTGAGTCATACTCAACTCGATGGCATCTAATTCCACATATAGATCCACTGAAGAAAAGTTATATAAGATCACCAACAAAGGCAAGTCTGCCACAAAGCTCATGAAACTGGAGTTTCTGGGTAATCTAGACAGGTTTCTTAAAATTTGCAGAAGTAAAGATGTTTTTATGTTTTTCAACTGTGCTCAGACCTCACAAAAATGTTTTAAACCTGTTGTTAAAGCAGAGATGAGTTTCATCTTCATATACATTGTTCACTGACTAGTGTTTAAACTTGAGCATTGGAAGAATTTTGTGTTGCCAAACTATCAAGTCTCCTGTAATCCTATCTAAACTTCATATACCTATAATAAGGGCATCATAGCTTTAGTAATCTTGAAATCTGAATTTCTCACTGATCTGTGTTCCTGTTGGATATAAATAAATACTGCAAGCCAGTGTCATGTTTAAAGAATTTTTGTCAGGCAAAAATAATATTTTAACTCAGTATGACAAAAATGTTGTGATTTCAACCTACCAATGTAAAAATTGTCAGTGAGGTGGTTTTCATTTCTCTTAAAATATTTTTAAATTCTGTATTTTCCAAAAATTACTGGTATAGTACATAGACAGTGAACTACCAGAGATTCAAGCTAAGTTGGGTTCTGAAAAGGCTGTGGCTATGTGGGGACATTGCCGATTTCAGATGGATCTTGGCTCAAAGTGTAGAGTACCAGAAAAATGTCTATGTTTTATTGACAGAGGCATTTGACTCTGTGAATCATAACAAATTGTGGCTAACATTGAAAAGAATGGGAATCCCAGAAAACTTGATTGTGCTCGTTCAAAACTTGTGTTTGTAAAGGAAGCAATCGTCACAGCCTAGCAAGTAAAGACTTTGTGGTTCAAAAGAAAGCATCAGAGATATGTCCTTTCTCCATACCTTTTCAATTTGTATATGGAATAACAGATCATTTAGAAGGCTGAACTTTATAAGGAGGAATATAGCTTCAAGATTGGAGGTAGACTCATCAACAGCCTGTGTTATGCAGATGACACAACCTTGATTGCCAAACCTGAGGGGGACCTGAGGTACTTGGTGCAGAAGATCAAGGACTGCAGTGCAGTGGATTGCAGTTCAACATCAAAAAGACAAAGATTCGCACCACTAGGCCAATTGGCAGCACCATGATGGATGGAGAAGAGATTGAGGATATTCATCTTGCTTAGATCCACAATCAACACTCTTGGGACCAGCAGTCAGGAAATTTAAAAAAAAAAAAAACACACCAAAAACTGCATTAGGAAAGTCTGTTGTCAGGGACCTCTCCAGTGACAATGATGTCACTCTAGAGACCAACGTGTGACTAATTCAGACCACGGTCTTCGCAGCTACTTGTCATGCATCAGAGAGCTGGACAATAACCAAAGAGGACAGAAGAAGAATTGATGCCTTTGAGTTGTGGGGCTGGAGAAGAATATTAAACATACCCTGGACTGCCAAAAGAACAAACGGATCTGTCCTGGAGAGGGTGAAACCAGGCTGCTCATTGGAGGCGTGGATTCTGAAGCTCGGTCTCACATATTTGGGGCATGTTGCCACGAGGGACCAGTTCTTGGAGAAGGATATTATACTTAGAAGGGTGGAGTGACAATTCAGGAGAGGAAGGCCTTAGATGAAATGGATTGACATACTAACTGGGGTAACGGGGATAGGGGTGTCAGAGACAGATTAGCTCAAGATAGGGCAAGGTTGAGGCCTTTTGTTTACAGGGCCGCTTTAAGTCCCAGTAAACTTGATAGCACATAACAACTTGTGTATTTTATACTTTATGTTATTGTTATGTGCTGTCTAGTTGCCTGTGACCCTGTGTACAGCAGCTCTGAACCCTGCCCTGTCCTGAGCCAATATCACTTACTCTGTTACACCTACCCTCATTACCCCAGTCACTGTATCTATCTAGCTCATCCAGGGTATTCCTTTATGTTGCTGTTGTTGTTGTTATGTACCGTCGAGTCATTTGCGACTCATAGCGACCCTATGCACAACAGCCCTAAACCCTGCTCTATCCTGTGCCAATTGCATTGCCTCTGACACCCACATCCCGATTAGCCCAGTCACTGAATCAATCCACCTCATAGAGGGTCTTCCCCTCCTGCGCTGTCCCTCGACTCTACCCAGCATGATGTTCCTCTCCAAAGACCTGTCTCTCCGTACAGCAAGTCCAAAGTATGTCAGACGAAGTCCCAAAATCTTTGGACTAACCACATTTCAGTCAGTTTTTCAGTTGTTGCATGTTAGCTTGTGTGTATTGGATACCACAGTTCTAGATATTGTAATGAGAATTCTTTTTTCTTCAGCTGATACCCTAATCTACTAAAATTCAAAATTGTATCTTTATTTTTTTAGCGTGTTTTCTCAGTGGTAGAAAAGACACTGGCTGACACACCATTACAGTTCACGTGGCAAAAAACTTCAGGAAACTACCTTGCAGTAACAGGGTAAGAAACGGAATATGTTTTCAGTAACTTATCTCTATTCCAGATGGATGGGTGTCCACATGATCTCATCATGTGATACAGTAGAATTTCTTGTGCAACAGCTGTGTAACAGGAAAATAAATATGTTCACCTTTATTAACATCACGACTCAGAAAATTTTATTGGCAAGGTAATTCTTAAAAAATAATTTTATATACAAATTAAGAAGCACAGAAATGGCTTTTATGGTGGCTTAATTTTTAAATACAAGTTACGACAATCTGAAGAGAGATTAAGAAAACATTTTAGTCATATCTTTGTGTCCTGGTTTCTTTTAGCGCAGAGCATAGTGTGAAAATCTTTAATCGCCATGGGCAGAAAAGAAGTGAAATTAACTTACCGGGGTAAGTATGGATGGGATAGTGAGCTATCCACTGGGCTGCTGATCTCAGGCTGGGAGTTTAAACCCACAGGAGAAAGAGGAAGCATTCTGCTCCCTTCAGTAGTTACAGCCCCAGAAATCCTCTGAGGACATTCTGTTCTGTCCTGTTGGAATCAACCATTGACAGTGGTTTGTTTTGTTCTTGATGAAGTATAAAGAAATATTAAAATGTTTTCAAGCTTTGTTATCTAAAATAGTACCATGCTTTAACTATGTTGTTTTCATGCACAGCCAAGTCAGAGAAGACTCAGAGCTGACACTCCCATGGGTTTTCAGAGGCTGTAAATCACATGAGAGGAGCTTGCCCATCATTCAGCGCTGGAGGAGCAGCTGGTGGATTAAAACCACATGCTTTTGGGGTGGCAGCACAACTCTCTATCACTCTGTCACCAGAGCTTCTTGTTTTGACTATAATCAAATGTAGTTTTATGACTCGTGTGTAACCCCTATCTCTTTTTTTGTGGGTGTTCTCTGTTTTTATTATTGTGGTGGTGTTATGTGCCTTCAAATCAGAACTGACTTATAGCTGACCCTCCAGTGGGTTTCCAAAGCTGTAAATTGCACAGGAGGGGATTGTTCATCTCACTCCCATGCAACAGCTAGTGGATTTGAACCTCTTGCCTTTAAACAGTACAACTCCTTTACCCTCTAGGCTACCAAAGCTCCCATTTTAATGAAGTATGCAGATACAGAGCATGTAAATTAGAGAAATAGATTTTCAAGATTTGTTACCTAAAATAATACTGTGTTAATTATAAAACTCACACATTTACAAGGAAGCTTTAAGGCAAGTATATATGAAAAAAAATCTTATTATAAACGTGTGTGTGT